TGAGGGGTTTTTTATGCCTTTTTCCCCCTTGAACTATTAGAAATCAAAACATGAATACGATCTTTAAAACAACCACTTTTTATTTAAAAGAAAATCATGTCCAAGTTAAAGAGTTTCATTCATGCATACCATAAGAGTAACCATAGAAATATAACCCAAAAATAATTACTTTATCGATAGGATCTCTATGACATATGAAACAGTCAACTGAGACATGCCTCAGTGACTCAAAAGAATAGCAATAATAGTTCTCCACGTGTACAAAGCAGAGTCTCATAAAAAATATTAAAAAGAGATATGTAGTTGTCCTATTCGTGAGACTCGGACTACAAAGGCTCAGCCCTTGAAAACATAAACGAAAAATTGAGCAAGAGGTCTCATTAGCCGCAGAAGACCCCAACCATTCATATGGCTTGCTTGACAAACGTCAGCACAGAGACATCGTCAAAGCACCACATGCATAGTACGGATCATAAATTATTTTTCAAAAAAGTCAGACAAGAGTTAAAAAAATTATGATACATGCATAACAATTTATATAAAAAGAAGTGAGACTTGTCTACCCGGAGTACTAAGTTGACACTAGGTGCTTAACCTAGCACAAGTATTTCACCTTACTTGTCCGGACGATTTAGCAAAAGTTAAATTTTTGTCAAATCATAATGCTCGTAATTGACCAACATTTTGAATAAAATCAAATAAACATCATTTCACAATTATACTAGAGCATTTAACGATACGTAATTCACTTTTTATATAATCAAGTACTACCTTATACAAATATTTCAAAATGTATAATTTTTCACTTTAAAAAAAGTGCTTCACTATTAGTACTTAAATCGTTTTCCAAATGCAAGAATGATGCAATTTCATCCTATTCGTTTTTGTAACAACCCAACTCACTAGTGATATTATCCGCTTTAATTTATGCTTGCGCGTCTTTAAAACGCGTCACTAGGGAGGTAAGGCATGTTTCTTTAAAATATTCAAGATTTCTCCTGTATTTTGTCTATGTGAGGCTCTTCTCCTAAGATAGGGTGTCACATACACCATCTCTTATGAACTCAATGTACTCACTAGGAGTTGCCCCATTGCATGAGATTTGCATAGATTCAGCACCAAGATTTGCCCCGTCTTTTCAGAATTCGCCTAAACTTAATTGAACTCTGTCTCACATCGATAAAACACGGGAGACATTCTAGATATTTTCTTATATATCGTAATTTTCTTAAAATATCACTATTTCAGATAAATAGTAAGGCTATGTTTGTTGTTTCTTATAATTTTTCCTTTCAAGAGTATGCCCTACATCAATTAATAAGAAGAGAACAATAGCATGACTTATTGTAAATTAACTTTATAATTTTGACCATAGAACATCAACTTTATAATTTCATCAAACAAATGATGATAAGTCTTAACATTTTGATGAAATTAAGAAACCCTTAATTAACAATAGTAGGTACATATGCAAACAGAACCACCCCCCATACAAGCCTTAGGAGGTAATGCATTATGATATTTCTTCCTGCAGATTGGCTTACAATCATCAACTCCCTTGCATCTTATGTAAAAAATTGGAGCAGTGCATTCCTTCACTAGTTGATCTTCACCAATAGTCTGGTTGACAACTACAAAAACAAATATATATGTGTGTATTATTGATTAGAAGTAGATGAAGATATAAATTTCTTTAGAAAATAATTTCTCTGCCCCCCGTAAAGGCAAGGGAAAGTCTAATACATTCTATTCTTTTCAAAATTTACTTGTGAGATTACATTGTGGGGGAGAGACACTCGATATCAAGGAAAATGTTATATTTTCTAGATAAATAAGTGGTTTCTTATTTATTTTCTTGTTTTCGGTATGCAAGTAAAAAATATTTGTATATATCTAAGATAAATTATGAGGATGGGATGGGGAGGAAACAATGCAACTTGTTTCCCTACTTTTATTAGGGAAGTAGTTTTTCTTATTTTCATGAAACTTGTTTTCTATATTTTCCTAAAATTTCGACTAATCGGACACGAAAAAATAAAAAAATATTTTCCACTATATCAAACACATTAATAACAAAATAGATAAAATGAAAACATAAAATAATTTAAAACTTTAAAAAAAAGGAGTTTTAATTCACAAACCTGACAAATATGTGATGATAAGAAGGAGACAGTAGCAAACTGAAACTTTTGCCATTTTTACTTGATTATTATTGTGCTTTGAAAAAAATGTTGTGTGAATTGATAATCCAGTGAAATTTATATGTCTATATTTACATTAGTCAACAATTACGATAATCCAGTAATTAATTACATTAATTGTTATAGATACACGGGAAAAAGGGCTAAAAATATCTCTGACTTATGAGAAGTAACTCATAAATATCTTCCTTTTACCTTTTGATCTAAAAATACACTTAATCTTTATTTTTGGCTAAAAAATATTCTTCCCTTTCCACCGTTTGATTTAAAAATACCCTCAACCTTGAAAATTTTAATATTTAGAGACTTGAAATTTACTTTTTTTACTTTTTATTTTAAGAAGATATAATTTACACATACAATCGAAAATTAAAAAATCTCAAAAAAATTAGAAATAAAAAAATATATATTAT